TCAGCAGCCCGCTGGCGCCATCTCTCCTCGTTGGAGGCCTTCCTGTCGCCTTTTCCCCGACGGCCAGGAGGACCAGCGTGGCCAGCAGGCGGCGCAGCAGCACCAGGGCGCACCAGCCGTCCACGTTCCGCTGGGGGCGCCTTGCGGCGTTCGGACGCCCTCGAGTGGGACTTGGAGGAGCGCGTCCTTGAAGTCGAGCGCCCGCTGCAGCTGTGGGAGTCCTGCGAGTCCAGTCGGTGCTTCTCGGGGCTCCCTGCACCAGGCATGGCTCTGCAGCTGGATGCGTTCGGGCCGACAGGAACGGGAAAGGCCTCCGTTTACCCACCGACCCGAGCGCGAGGAGGGTGGCCAGAAGACGATGCCAGACTTCAAGAAGTCTTGCCTGCCGCGGTCTAGCGGTATCCGCTTGGTTCCCAGAGGAAACCTGCGTCTTGAGCCAAAATGGCTACGGAGGAGGAGGAGGAGGATACCGCAGGAGGAGGAGGAGGAGGAGGAGGAGGAGGAGGAGGAGGAGGAGGAGGAGGAGGAGGAGGAGGAGGAGGAGGAGGAGGAGGAGGAGGAGAGGGGGTGTTTTGTCCGAGAGACAGGCTGGCCGCCGTACTGCCATCGGCTGATTTCCTACACGCCGCCACGCTGCACGGCGGAAGGGGGCGGGGAGGGGAGAAGCAGGCAGACGACGCCGGACGCGCAGGCGGCAGGCCACGGCGGGCGGGGCAGGGCGGGCAGGTGGGAGCGGGGCCAGGCGGAGACAGCAGTTCCAACTCGAGGCATCCCGGAGCGTCTTCTCCAGAGGGAGGGGGTGGTCTCGGTCGGGGGAGGGGGAGGAGGGGGAGGAGGAGGAGGAGGAGGAGGAGGGAGGAGGAGGAAGAGGAGGAGGAGAGGAGGAGGAGGAGGAGGAGGAGGAGGAGCGCCTGCAAATGGAGGAGGACCATGCAGGATTCTAAAGGCCGGACCGTCAGCGCGCCAAGAGAAGAGTGGCTGCTGCGATGTGTGCCTTCCCATCCCCAGGCCTAGTCTGCGCGACTAGCGCCGGTATGAACCAGCTAGGAGCTCCCCACGCCAGCCAACTTCTTGTAGCCGACGGGGTCGGGCCCCCTGCAGCAGAGCGTGAGTCCACCGCTTTCCCCTCCCCCACAGCAGCGCCCGACCCCAGTGTTCGGCCCCACCATTACTCACTGTTCGGGCAGTGCTCCACCGTGCCCTGGACCTCGCCATGGGCGAGGGTCGTCGGGCGGCGGCTGTATTGCACCCGCTGCTTCTCACAGCGCTGCTGGCTGTCGGTTGCGGTCGCGGTCGTCGGCCTCGACGACCCTCAGGACGCGTGTCAGCCCAATGTGTGTTCATCCCGTTTGGCCCAACCGGTAGAGCATTATATCGCCTGCGTCGTTATCGAAGGGCGCTAACACACTTTCTGGTGATCATTTTTCTATTCATTGTTTTGCCGATCGGCGCGGGCCCCAAAAGCCCCCCTCCCCCCCCATGGAGTAGATGTTGGCTGTTTTGGGCGCATATTTCGAGCAGGTGGAGTCTCCCTATCATAGGACCCAGTGCTGCAAACAGTCGCACTCAGCAGAGCCCCGGAGCCAGTCACCCCCCTCCGGGAGGGGGAGGTCTGGGGGGGAGGGGCACTCCCCCCCCCTCCCTTTCGCCCAATGTCGAAACGCCGAATACAAAAACGCTCACCTGAGGATCATCGATCGCCGAAAACTGCGAAGGAGCTCAGCGCAACGCATCCTCGTCGCCGCCGCGCAGCACCGCGCTGCGCGCGCGGCACGCGACGGAGACGGCGAGGGGGCCCGCCGCGCGGCGGCGGCCTCGGGCCGCCTCGCGGAGGTCCGTCGACGCGCCACTGCTGGCAGGAAGGGGAGACGAGTAAGTCGGGCATGCCCCCCTACAGACAGATTTCCGACGAAAAATTAGAGAAGACCCAGCAGAGATTCAAAAGTAGCCAAAACAAATGCCAAAACAACAATCGGGCCCAGACGATTGTTTGGACTATCTGGGGGCATTCCTCTCCTGTAGAGGGCCAGGCCCGACTCAAGGAGAGGAGGCAATCACTCAGAGCTGCAGCGGCCTCGGGACGCTCCAAGCGCGGATGCTGCCAACAGAGCCCATGACACTCACGCGGGACACTGGCAGTCCTGGTTCGAGTCGACGGCTCGGCCGCCCCCCATTGACGCATCGCCTGCAGGTGCCCTGGCATCTCAGCCTGCGAGCCACCATCCACCCGTTGAGGTTCGGACGGAGGTCCGCGGAGAGCACCGGCGAGAGAGCCAATGGCCGGATTCGCTGCACATTGAACAACAGCCTGCGGCACTGCTGCCCAGGTAGAGCATCGAGCTGCCAGTGGCCGGTGCGGCGCCGAAGCGCACGCTCCATCGCCGCAGCGTGGGGTGGAGGTACCGCCATGGAGGCGCGAGCCTGACAGCCCTCCCGGCGCCAGCTATGGTTGACGGGTCGAGGAGTGCTAAAAAGCCGCCCCCTTGGCAGTGGGCTCAAGGAGCGCAGACTCAAGGGAGAAAAGAAAGTACGAGGCTGCCCGGTCGTTCCGAACACCCAGGCGGGCGGCGCTGCCAGCGTCCTGCACAGCGGCCCGTAGGGACGCAGCGCACGGCATAACTCGCATACTTCCAGAGCGATGTGCCTCGTGCACAGATGCGCGAACTGTGGCAATACCAACGATGGTGTCGACGTCGGCAAAATCGATAGGAAAACTAAAGGATCACAACGGCTTGAGGATGTCGGCGTCGAGTTTATTCATGTCCAGGAAGTAGATTCCTCACAGCCCGCTGCTGCACATCAGCGAAAGTGACGGGAAGGGGGTGTCCAACTGCGCCACGGAGGCGGCCACAGAAGCAATGAAAACCTTGTAAGCCTCCACGGCTTGCATGCCCGCCCCGAAGCTCCTCCATACTGAAGCTCGCCATTCCATTTTCCTGACAGCGCCGCTCCAATGCCCCTCCCAGGCCCAACGTAGAATCCCAAGTATTTCGCCGAGCCGGCAATCTCCAGGGCACCCTACAAAGGAATTTCATCGTGAAGACAGGCGCGAATTGCGGAGTGGGTGAAGGCCCCAAGCGGGACCAATACTGTTTCGCCCTTGTTTGGCTTTAGGCCAGACGCGCGGGCGCACTCCGAGAAGGTGCGCTCGAGAGAGGCCGGCTTATTCAGCAGCTGCGGGTACTGGGGCCGCGTAGTCGGCGGACGCCCGCAAAGTGATGGACGGGAGAGATTCTGCGCTACGGTCGGGAACTTTTGCTTAGCGTGTCGCGGTGGCGGTCCTGGCGGCACGCTATGCCTTGCGGGAAGCCGCCGAGAGCCAATCATGATGTCCGAAAACCTCAGGCGAACCCCGAACCTCGACCGCAGGCTCGCGTGCTGAGGTCTGTGGCAGTTGCTAGCCTGGGCCAGGGAGGCGTTGCGCTGGACCTGCGCTGCGGCAAACAGGGGAGCGGCGGATGCCCGTTACCCCCCCCGCTTGCAGGGCACGCCTCGTTGACGCGGACTTCGGGCCACCCGGCGCCATCGTCGTCGTCATCGTCGTCGTCGTCGTCGTCGTCGTCGTCGCCATCGTCGTCGTCGTCGTCGCCGCCGTCGTCGCCGTCGTCGTCGTCGTCATCGTCATCGATCAAGGGCAGCTCGCTCCTCCACTCCTCGCGCCTTCTGCGCCAACTCGCTCCGCTCCACTCCACTCCCCTCCACTCCGCCCTCTACTCTGCGCCTACTGACGCCAACCGAGCGTTCCCGGAGCAGGGCGCGGCGAACATGCCCGGTGGCGCCAGCAAGCGTGCCACTGGCACCGCAGGGCCCAGACGGAGGCTCCAAGTAGCAGTGCAGTGCTGGTGCCCATGCTTCCCTGCGTCGCTCATGGGCAACACGAGCGGGTGAGATTCGGAGGCGAGCGTGGGCCTGCTTCCCCGTCTGCGCGGCGGCAGCGGCCCGCACCGAAGGCGCCCTGACGCGCAGGGCATCGGGCTCGCAGGCGAATGGAGGCCAGCAAAGCGTCCCTGCAGGGGGCGGGGCACTGCCGAGGCCAGCCGGGATCGAGCGCGGGGTCTGGAAAAGGAAGGTTTTGGCGACCAGATTGAACGGATGGAGGCCTCGGGCAGATCGCGCCTCTCTCAGAAAGGTGCTGGAGCGGCGCATCATACCGAAGTCCCGACGCAGCAAGAGCAGATAAAGCCAACCACTTCTGGCAACTTGCCATCGTTCATCATGGCCATGCTATCCGTGAAACCGGTGGCATGAAGCTTGGACCCAACATGGTTTTCTGAAATTTCCAGTGCTGGTCGTCTCGATGTCCTGCCGCGACGTGCTGTCCGTGAAACCAACGGCAAGAAACTTGGGACCCATTATGTTTTTTCTGAGACTTCCAGTGCTGGTAGCCTTGCTGTACTGCCGTACCGTGCTGGTGTCAAGAAGCTTGGGCGCATTATGGTTTTCTGAGACTTACAGTGCTGGTAGCTTCGCTGTACTGCCGTGCATGGATCCGAGGGTACCCTGCACCCCCGCCTGTCTGGGAAGGCTATGCCCCCCCTTCGCGCTCCCCAACAACTTGGCGCGGCGCCACCCGAGGCGGGTCGCGCAGAGACGGGGGTGCTGGATGAGAACGAGGGGGTGCTTCAGAATGAGGCGGAGGATGAGCTCGCCCTCTTGGAAGGAAGCACCCCCTCAGCGACAACAGCGGCGACGACGACGACGACGAACGACGACAACGACGACGACGACGACAACGACAACGACGACGACGACGACAACGACGTCGACGACGACGACGGCGACGACGGCGACGACGACGACGACGACGACGACGCACGACGACGACGACGCACGACGACGACGACGCACGACGACGACGACGCACGACGACGGTGCACGACGACGACGCACGACGACGATGAAGACCTCCGCGCCGCCACCGACAGACCGCCGAGGGTGGCCGAAGGCCTCGGAGGGCCGCCTAAGGCCACGCCCCCCCAAAGTGGCGCGCAGGCGCCCGCCTCGCTCGGCCGCGCTCCCGGACTGGTCGCCGCCGG